TTGACGATCACAGTGTTATTTTTTTTTTTTTTTTTTTTTTTTCAGAAAATATTGCTGAAATAATTGGAAGGATACAAAACAGACACTGATTTTTTAGGAGATCGAAGAAGCATGCAAACGAATCAAACGGGAAATAGACAATTTAGGGGCCGAAATTGGTGAACTGAAATGCATACCGTTGTATTCAACATTACCACCGAACTTGCAACAGCGCATTTTCGAGCCTCCGCCGCCAAAGCGTGCGAATGGAGCTATTGGTGGGTGCAGCGGGACTGCTTTTACTTTTCTTTCTTTTTTTTTTTTGTGCTATGCCATATTTGGGTTTCCCCGGTTTTTCGTTGATTTGTTTTTATGAGGGGCCCAAATGTATGGCAAGTGGCCGAGTTGGTTTCACACTGACACTGCTAAGTTATCATCACACTGACACAACTGATCATACACGACCCATAGTTGACGGCGCCTGGCATAAATTGCAGGTCGCAAATGTGTCGTCTCAACGAATATTGCCGAGACGTCACTCACAATTGATGGCGTTGTTTTCGTGATTGACCCAGGATTTTCGAAGCAGAAGGTTTGTACAAAGTGATGCTGCCCAAGTCGACGGGCACCAGCAAACTCTCCTTATCTATTGACTTATATCTCCTTGTTATGTGATATTACTGCTGCTCCTGCTGAGCATTTCCTACGGCTGTAACTGTATCTTTTCTTTAACTAACCCCTTCAGGTGTATAATCCACGAATTCGCGTTGAATCGTTGCTGGTTTGTCCAATTTCGAAGGCATCCGCAATGCAACGTGCTGGCCGAGCCGGACGAACAAAACCCGGCAAATGCTTCCGCCTATATACAGAGAAAGCGTATAAAAATGAGATGAACGATCAAACATACCCTGAAATTTTGAGGTTCTGTTTTCGTTATTTCGTAGGCTAAGCAGTCACTGTGAGAAAAAAAAAAAAAATTTGCCAGCCAAATCCCCACAGCAAAAATTGGGACCAGTTTTTTTTTCAGGTCAAATCTGGGAACAGTAGTGCTGCAGCTAAAAAAGCTAGGAGTCGAAGATCTTGTGCACTTCGATTTCATGGACCCACCAGCTCCCGAAACTCTGATGCGTGCTCTTGAGATGTTAAATTATTTGGCTGCCATTGATGACAATGGTGAGCTAACACAGCTGGGTTCACTGATGGCCGAATTTCCACTCGATCCACAGCTTGCCAAAATGGTCATCGCATCCACCGAGCTGAATTGTTCCAACGAAATACTGAGCGTCACTGCTATGCTTTCAGGTAATCTGTTTATGCTGCTCTTTGACTTTCACTGTTTTGAGATGGGGAAGATTGTATTTTGCGATGATTGCCCTTACTGAAATTTTGCGGAAAAAAAACAAGATCTGTTATAAGATGGACAACTCGATCATGAAATTGGAAATCAAAAAGTGCATTTTCCCCATCACTTGTTCTTTAAAACACACTTGTGGGTGCATTTTCATGGCATGTACTTGGGACATCTGGGACTGCTGTCGATTCGTAAATTCTTTCGTTCTTCATCTGTGTAGCTGGCAACTTTCCTATTTTCATTGTTGTTTTCACCATTGCTGAATCGCCCACTGTTCAACTTGCTAGCAGTCCTGGTGCTTGTTTTATTATCTTCTAAAGGGATAACTGTTTCAACGGTTTTCCCGACGGAAGCATCTGATTGAGGAGAGTGGGGCGAGAGGGAGAGGGGGGGAGGGGGGCATTAACCATTTTGGGTTATCTTTGTTGAGCGTTGAGTGTAACCATTACATGCAGGACATTGATGCCTCAGTGTTAGAGGGACTTCACTGATTGGAAGCATGGCGCATTAAAAAGTATTTTACGGAAACGGGGATTTTGCTGCTTTGTTGGTTTTTGAGAAAACGGTATGGGTATCTCAGGTGAACAAATGGTGGGCTTAAATTTCGACACTTGTGTTATTCTGGAGAGGAGGGAGGCGGAGGAGTGCAAGGGGAAAATGGGGGGAGAGGAGGGGGGAGTGTGTTAACTACATAGTTTCCGTTTGCTACATCAAATCTATCACTAGTATTGTGCTGGATGCATTCTGTAAAAGTGATACTAAATGGTTTTGTTTAGTGCCGCAATGTTTTGTGCGACCAGCTGAAGCTAAGAAGGCAGCGGATGAAGCAAAAGCACGATTTGCTCACATTGATGGTGATCATTTGACGCTCCTGAATGTCTACCATGCTTTTAAGCAAAGTAAGTGCGTTCGTTTTCTCTTCTCGTAAAATATATCTCGTTCAGCGAACTTCAGGAGGAACGACTCATGCAAAATATGCATATATTTTGATTTACCTAGTAAAAAAATATGTGCGGCGCTAAGAATGGCCCTGGTCCTGGTCTTTTTGATGGGAGTTGGGTTGTTTGTGTTGTAATTATATCACCACCAGCGCTAGTGTTGCTATGCGTGACGAACAGCTAAATCAAAATCTAAAAAGTTCGTTGTTAGCTATTGCAGCTTAATTTGTATAATGCCCCGGCACTGTTACAGATCACGAAGAAGTGCAGTGGTGCTATGACAACTTCATAAATTACCGAGCTTTGAAAAATGCGGACAACGTACGGACACAGCTCGCACGTATTATGGATAAATTCAGCCTGAAACGAGTATCCACAGATTTTAAAAGCAAGGACTATTACATCAACATTAGAAAAGCGCTGGTCGCTGGATTTTTCATGCAGGTTGGAATTAATTGCTTAGTAGTAATGACAACTATAGTAATAACTAAAAGCAGTGGTAATAACAATAATAATAATAGCAATAATAATA